CACCCTCACACAGCCCCTCACACTCACCCTCACACACAACCTCACACATACACTCACACAGAGCGGTACAGCACTCACTCTCACACAACCCCTCACACACACCCTGCACCCTCACACACACACTCACAAAGGTACAGCACTCACACACACATCCTACACCCTTACACACACACACACAGAGGTACAGACACTCACACACACCCTCACATAACCCCTCACACAGACAGAGAGAGAGGTACAGACACTGACACACACCCTCACAGAGAGAGATACAGAAACTCACACACATCCTGACCAATTCCTCACACACACTCACACACACACACACAGAGGTACAGACACTCACACACACCCTGAACAACCCCTCACACACCCTCACACACACACACAACCCCTCACAAACCCTCACACACACTCATACAGAGAGAGAGAGATACTGACACACACCCTCACAGAGAGAGAGAGAGAGGCACAGACACTAACACACACCCTCACACACACACCCTCACACACAGAGAGGTACAGACACTGCCACACACACCCTCACACACACACCCTCACAGAGAGAGCTACAGACACTGACACACACCCTCAAACACACACCCTAAAACAGAGAGAGGGAGAAAGAGAGGTACAGACACACACACACCGACACACAGAGAGAGAGGTAGACATTTAGACACACACTGACACATACACACAGAAACACACAGAGAGACACACAGAGAGACACACACACACATGCACTGACAAACAGAGAGACACACACTGACACACAGAGAGACACACACACTGACACACAGACACACACCGAAACAGAGAGACATACACAAAAACACAGAGAAACACACACTGACACACACACACACACAGATACACTGACACACACACACACTGACACACACTGAAAGACACACTGACACACACACACTGAGAGACACACTGACAGAGAGAGAGAGAGACACACACACACACTGAGAGACACACACATTCACACACACTGAGAGATATAGACACACACCATGAGTTACTGTCTGATATACATAGAGAGGGGGAGAGACACACACACCACCGCGAGTTACTGCCTCACATATACTGACATACGCACTGTGAATTATATGCACCCTGATACACACACACACACACACGTGAGTTACTGTCTGACATACACTGTTACCGTCTCACACACACACACTGAGACACTGAGTTACTGTCTCACATACACGCTGTTACTGCCTCACTCACGCACGCATACCGCAGCCCTGTGAGTTATTATCTGATACAGACATTGATACACACACACTGTGAGGTCCTATCTGACATACACACACTGACACTGAGTTACTGCCTCACATACACTGATGCACTGAGTTACTGCTCACACGCATACCAGGTTACACATAGAGACAGACCCACACTGTAGGTGTTACTGACCGAAAAAGAGACACACACACACACTCACTGATATTGGTACACACCAAGGGAGATTGGAGACTCACTGTAAGTTACTCACTCACTTATACTTGAGACTGAGACTCTTGAGTTACTCACTGATTGACACACTAACACCGAGACACTCACTGAGAGAATTGAAGGGGGAGAGAGAGTCACTGAGATACATTCACACACACACACACACTCACTCTGGAGAGAGACATTCACACCCTGACACCCATACAGAGACACACACACTCACTGACATTCAGAGTAAGTAACTCGCTGACTGATACCCATCCCTCACAGAGAGATGTAGACAGACACAGAGACACTGACACTCATGCAGTAAGTTACTCAAAACACTGAGAGACAGATAATACACACTGAGCCAGAGAAACACGCACAGTAAGTTACTCAACGATACTGACAGAGAGAGAGAGAGAGACACACACACGCACACAGACACTCAGTAAGTCACTTACTGCCCGAGATAGACACACACCGTTACTCACTGACAGAGACACATAGACTGAGACTCACCAGGGACTGAGACGGATAACTCAGTAAGTCACTCACTGAAGTGAGACAGTTACACATTCTCACACACAGAAACTTGCTCATTTGATACAGACACACACACACACACACACACAGAAAGTAAGTTGCTCACTGATTTTGAGACACACACACACTGACTCTCACATCAACACTACAAAAATGATCACAGTAATAACAATACACCTGACATTTGGTAACAGTGCCTTTCGCAGTAAGAAGCCTTCCCGCAGAGCTTCACAACATATACTGTAAAGTATGTGTGTGTGTGTGTGTGTGTGTTGTGGGCAAACACCAAAAATACTGACAAGACACATATATATGTGAGACAGAGAGTAGGACATGTATACACACAGGGAGAAGGGGAAGAGACACACACACACACACACACAGACATACATACATACATACATGGAGAGGGAGGGAGAGTCACAGAGGGAGGGAGAGATGGACAGACAGGCAGACAGACATGGACACCCTGGGAGGGAGGGAGGGAGGAGAGAGAGAGGGGGGGCTGTGGGGTGGGGAGGGGTGTGTGGGGGTGGGGAGGGGGTGTGTGGGGTGGGGAGGGGTGTGGGGGGGGGAGGGGTGTGGGGTGGGGAGGGGGGTGGGGGGTGGGGAGGGGGGGTGGGGAGGGGGAGGGGGGTGGGGGTGGGGAGATGGGAGACAGTGAGAAAGACACACGTACACACTCTCGTGGGGAGGGGGAAGAGGTAGACTTGTGTACACACACACACACACACGGGGAGGGGAGAGAGAGAGTAAGTGACTGGAAGAGAAACACAGGGGGAGACAGAGAGAGAGATTGTGGCAGAGAAGCGGAGAGCGGCGGATGAACAAGGAAGGGAAGGGTGTGTGGGTGTAGGAGGGGGGGGGACAGAGGGGAGAACACGCCGGGAAAGCCACCGGGAGGAGTGGGTAAAGTCGGGGGTAAGGAGCGGTGTGGGGGGCGGAGGGCAGCGGCTGCGAAACAGCACAGACCGCGACAGAGGCACAGACACACACACACACACACAGACAGAGAGACACACACACACACACACAGAGACAGACAGAGAGAGACACACACACACACACAGACAGACAGACAGAGAGACATACACACCCACAGACAGACAGACAGACAGACAGAGAGAGAGACACACACAGACAGACAGAGAGAGAGAGACACACAGAGAGCTAGAGAGACACACACACAGACACAGAGAGAAACACATACAGACAGATAGAGAGACACACACACACAGACACAGAGAGACACACAGAGAGAGACACACACACAGAGACACAGAGAGAGAGAGACACAAACACACACAGAGAGAGAGACACACACACACAGACACAGAGAGAGACACACACACAGACACACACACACAGAGACACACACACACACAGAGAGACACACACAGACGGAGACACACACACACAGAGACACACATACAGAGAGACACACAGACACACAGAGAGAGACACAGACACACACACAGAGACACACAGAGAGAGAGAGAGACACACACAGAGAGACACACACAGAGACACACACAGAGAGAGAGACACACACAGAGAGACACACACAGAGACACACACAGAGAGAGAGAGACAGACAGAGACACACACACACACACACAGAGACACAGAGAGAGAGAGAGAGAGAGACACACAGAGACACACACACACACACAGAGAGACAGACAGAGACACACACACACACAGAGACAGAGAGAGAGACACACACACACAGAGGCAGACAGACAGAGAGAGAGGGGCTGAGCTGTGGGGCAGGCCATTGCTCAGGCTGCACCACCAGGGCTCAGTCCCCGGTTTGGTATTTGCCACTATTATAGTTTTAATGCATAATTTTCCTGCCTTGAAACCCCTGATATACAGAGAGCAGCTGCCCACTGGCCTTCCAGTTAGTCCTGTCTGAGCTCAGTGGGTTGAACGAGAATATTCCACTTGCTTCTCACTCTCCCTCCCCCTCTCTCACTTTTCAGGTCTATCAGGTGAATATTGTATGTAAAAGGCCAGGGGCAGAGAAGCAAAGAGGGTTTCTGTGGCTCTGGGGAGGGAGCTTGGCTGGTTTAGTTATTATTGCCCAGCCTGTCTGCCTCAACAGTGAGACTGCCAGGGCTAGACATGTCCTCAAGCCTAGGGAGCTAAAGCCCCAATGCTGAGACGTCTTGAAAACGTGATGAGGCGCTAAATCGAATGCAAGGATTATTATTATTATTATTATCATGGCCCTCTACGTCTTGTTCCACTAGTTTAATCTCTCCTGCCGACCGGCAGGCCTCTCAAGACAACCTGGTGATGGTTTGGATGCTTGTTCGTTACCCTCTGGATTGTAGTCAAAAATATAATAATGCATAATGTATTGTTGTTGCGTGTATTAATGTAATTGTTGCATGTATTCCTGTGTTTATATATATATATGTGTGTGTATATAGATATGTTTCTATATATATATATATATATGCGGGTATTCAGACCTATAGCAAAAGGTGTGTTTATTGAATGTTTGGGGAATTCGATACGTTTCTTTTTCTTATTCCTACCTGCAAGGTGGTGACAGCGAGCCTCACAGTGAGCGTTGTCTTGCTTAGTAAGCGATAAGGTTAATCACAACAGTTTCTGTTGCCTACACAGCCACTGGTGCACTTTCTCACGGAGATGTTGAGAGAGTGATGGGGAGCAGACTGACTGACTGTTTTTCTTTCCATAAGCTAGGATTTATCACCCCATCCAGCACCCAGTCCAAATCATTTCATGCTACACTATGTTTGCCTGTTGTGGCAAGCACACCTTTGGAGGCAAGTTGTAATGTAAATGGTTCCTTTTCCTGGCGCCGACTTTGGACTTGGATCCTCTACGAGGATTGGTTGCTTCTGCAATACAGGCTTTCTTAATTATTATTGATACTACTACTAACAATCCTTGCATTTGATATAGCGTTTTTCACATCTTCTAGACGTCTCGAAGCAATTCACAGAATAGACTGTGAAGTGAATTGACTGTATTTAATAATTGCTTTATTAAAAGGGTCAGCGTCATTGTGAAATATTGCGATGTCGTCAAGTTTTTGCCCGGACACAAGCCACTATTAGAAATGCAATTTTGTGATTCCACTATCCAAATAACAGTGGTTTAATTGCGAAAATGGTTAGGAGCATATTCAGGTATTTCCCCAGCCTCCGTTATCTTTATTTGGGTAGCCAAGATTAAAAATCAGATTCTGACTATGGTTTGTGCATATTCAAAAGTCTGAAACCATCACCAAATGTGCAAGATAATGAGATGTTGGCCCATATGCTAGTTTGTCAGTTGCCTCAAGCATCCTCTGGAAGTCCTGAGGCAGTGTAAACGCAATGGATACCTGGAATGCAGAAGTGCCTCGAGTTTAGCATTGTATTTTGAGTCTCAGGATCAGCAATATCAAAGTGGCAGAATTTGGCCCTGACCAGGGACCTTTCCAGTCTGTACGGCTTAGATATATGATGCATATTGTTGCTTTCATCCACTGAAATTTTAATCCAGAAAAGGTCATGAGAGGCGCTTTGAGAAGTCTCAACAATGTGATAAGGCGCTATGTCAAATGCATGGATTATTAATTTACTGATTCCTCTATCTGTTAGAATCCGTGTGGAAATTAATTGTAAGCTAAATGAAGGCTGTGATCTAGTCCAGATTGTGAGCTGCCTATTCTCTCCAAAGTTAAGATGTGTAAGATGCTTACTATAACCTTTACTTAAGTCTTTTAAAGATGACTTTTCAAGCATGACTACTGCATATATAAATCTGTCAACTACTGTATTCTGGTTTAAAACTTATCAAACTAGAGATCTGCACATTCCAATTCAATCCCTAAATGAATAACTTAATTTCTTGAGCAAGTTAAGATTAGATCAGGACTTCTGTTCTTGACCAATTATTTGTACCACGGCCAATTTATTCAACAGCTTCAACACAAAAGTAATATGACTTATAAAATGTACTGGTGTCTGTGTGTAATATGGCAGTGTATTTAGTATTTCACTTATGTAAAGTAAGAATCATTTCATCTTTTAAATTCTACAGGATGTGCCAATTGATACCTTGAAATTGATAGATGTGATTTTTTTTTAATCTTTACGTGTTTGCTTGGTTAACCAGTCTTAACATGAGGTTGCTTTCCTAAAAAATAATGACAAACGCATTTCTGTAGGTGTTTAGAAAGTTGGTGTTATGCAACGGCTTTTGTTAATTTACGTCCTGTCTTTCAGATCATCTGGAAAATTTCACCAATCTGCCACAATCTGAATTAGCAATATGGGTGACAATGACCCAGAAAAAGGTGAACTTTTGTCTGAAAACAACAATGAAACGTACTATGAAACAGAGGATGATGAAGAAGAGATGACAAGAGAGGAGAGGATGGGATTTTCTGGTAAAAATGGCCTGATCTCGTCTTCCCCTGGGACAGTTTATGATCGGACTACTGTCCTGATAGAACAGGACCCGATCAGCCTGGAAGAAGAAGAGGAGGAGGATGAGGAGGAAGAGGAAGGAGGGAACAATAACAGCTTGGTGTCTTTTTTATCTCACGGCGGAGAGGACAACTTTTTTTTGATAGGAGATCCTGATGGAATGTCGCAGGGTTATGTGCATCACACCATTTCTCCTGATCAGATTCAGTTCACCATCAACCCCGGATCTACCCCAATGCCCAGGAATATAGAGGGAGCCACACTGACCCTGCACTCGGAATGTCCCGATACCAAGCTGAAGGAGGTAAAGAGATGAAACATTGTGATTTTAAAAAGAAAATTGGAAATTCACCGCAGGTCGATAGTTATTTTTCTGGCCCAGGTATAGATTATTGTCTAGGGGCACTGAATTACAATGCAACGCTGTTATGACTCACTTCATCATAGCACTGATTTGTTTATAACGTGAATGGGCTGTGGGCTGCTTTCACTGCACATGCGCACAGCAGGCCTCTAAAACACTCTAAAAATGGACAACATCCATGGTGGCATCAAGCTGCTGCTGGTGCTACTTTCTGCCTTGTGTATGTGCCGCACACAGCAAATTGCGTTAGTGGTCTGTTTTTTTTATCGTAGAGGCATATGCAGTGCAACCAGCCATCACAACTTTATTATAAGACGGAATGGGATTTTATGGAGCGCAACTACTGCCTTGGCATGAGGTTGCACTGTATAGGTTGATATTTCAGCTGCTGATCGACCTGCTGTGCATTTCTAGCACATTTTGTTTTCACTTGTCAAGCTGTATTTGATCGTTGCCCATTTTGCTTTTGAGTTACTTACTAATCTAGAGAAAGGGACGTATGCCATCTCGGTGAATTGAGGCAGGATAATTTAGACAACATTTTGATTGGAAACTTTCTTGAGGACGAGTAGAGAGGAGTAATTTATTTGCAGTCCAAATGCAAATCATTTTTTTGATATCCTGCTATGAAACATTGATTTATTAAAATAAGATTTATTGTACAATTATCTGTTCAGTTCTGATTCAAACCAAATCGAGAGCATGAAGCCAAAGTTTAGATGTATGTACTGTAATTTGAAATAAATAAATGTTGCTGGAAACAAGAAATGATGGGTTCAAACAGAGTTTGAGGCAAAGACAGCAGATCTGAGCTTTAGAAACCATGGATTGGCTTCTCTTACAGAACAAATGATCACAGCTGAGGGACATTAATAATCTTTAAAAGCTCTTATCTATGTATGGGAAGAGATCAGTGAAGCCACAACCTACTGCCTCCTCTCAACTGGCTCTGGCCTTCTGCACGTCCCTTGTGCCCTCTGTTCCATAATTGGTGGCCGTGCTTTCAGCCACTACGCCCCGAAACTCTGGAACACTCTTCCTCTATCCCTCTGCCTTGATCCTTCCTTCCCCATCTTCAGGTCGGACCTGAAGACCTTCCTCTTCGACTGTGCTTACAGTCGCTCCCCCCGGTTTCTTGTCGGGCTCCGCCATCGTCAAGCACTCTGGGACGCTACCCTGCTTGAGGGACGCTATGCAAACACAAGTTGTTGTTATTGGTTGATGAGTTTCCCCGGTTTCTACGTGCAAAAAGCTTCCCAACAGCATCTAAATCTTCAGTCACATCCAGCACTTTATCTAAACTACACACCAAATTTCAGTTGTGTAGGAATTGATATGCTTGGTTTCAAAAGCTGCAATTTTATTTCATCTCTTTTTTTTTTCCCCCGCCCCCCCCCCCCCACCCCTTCATTTCATGTTACATTCTTGCTCCTGTCATCTTGCAGTCTGCCCTAGCTTTTGTGCTCACCAAGTCATTTAATCTTTTTCTTTTCTTAAAAAAAGCTAAATAATAATTTATTATTACACGCCTGATAATAATCCCTCCAAAAACACAAAACGATAATAAATTGGTCATTTTCAATCTACGACTGTTTGTGGGACGCTGCTGTGCGCAATTGGCTGCCGCGTTCGCCCACAAATATACAGTCAATTCACTTTACAGTATATTCTGTGAAGCGCTTTGGGACGTCGAGAAGACGTGAAAAGCGCTATATCAAATGCAAGGATTATTATTATTATTATTAAATACAGTTCTGTTCTCGCAATGCTCGGGTGAGCAAATGCATAGTGTAGTACTTTACATAATGTCCCATTTATGGTGCTGGAAGCGATCTGAATTTATTTCCAGCAGTAGATCAATTTGGTAAGCAACACTTTATACAGTGTTTCCTATTCCATAATTGAATTTGCCAGCAAGGGCTTAGAAATGTTGATGCGTTTTTATAATGTTTTTTAAAGAGCCCGAACTACAACCGGCTTTTTAATGATATTAAAATGCTTGTTTGTGTTGGCGGTCTCTAACCCAATTTGCTTCAAGGTTGCAAACTGCTTTTAAGCGTTTTTGTTGTTGTTTAGCATTGATTTTTGGAATCTTTTCACAAACCAGCAACCCAAATAGGGCATTAAATCCGAGCTGTGGAATCGCAGAGAAGATTAACAGTTATATTAAAAGAAAGTCGAGAAGGCTTATTGTTCTGATAGTTGTGTGCTATCCCAGCTCGGTGGGAGGAGCAAGGCAACAACAACTTGCATTTATCACAACGACTTGCATTTATATAGTGCCCTTCACGCGGAGTAGCATCCTCGAGCGCTTCACAGTGGCGGAAGTCTGACAATGACCCGGGTGGGGAGATGACTGTAAGCACCATCAAAAAGGAAGGTCTTTAGGCAGCATTTGAAAGTGGGGAGGGAGGGGGCAAGGCGGAGGAGGGATTGAGGGAAAGAGTTCCAGAGTTTCGGGGAGTAGTGGCTAAAGGCACGACTGCTGATGGTGGAATGGAGGGCACGAGGGACAAACGAGAGGCTGTAGCCAGCGGAGCGGAGGCAAAGCAGGCAACTGCTGCTTAATATAATGCTGCAGCAAGCTGTAGACTATCGAGAACACTGCAGCCTGCGTCCTCTCACTGCAAGCCAACCACCTCCATTCTCGCCCGGCTCCAGTGGCTCCCCATCCCCCTGCAGAATCGAATCCAAGATTCCTTCTTCTCACCTTCAAATCCCAAGCTCCTGCGACCTCCTACAACCCGACTGATATGGCCGCTGTATTCACTCAGTGAACATTGATCGACTTCATATCTCTCCACTTATCCACTCCTAGTTGGGGGTGGGGAGGATGGAGGGGGTGAGCTTTCAACCGGGAGTAATAATTCCTTCAAAAATAAAAAATTCTAATGTGGTCACTCAATCCACGACTGTTTGGGGGACACTGCGGCGCGCAATTGGCTGCTGCGTTTCGCCCACAAAATCCACAGTCGATTCACTTTACGGTATGTTCTATGAAGCACTTTGAGACGTCGGGAAGATGTGATAAGGCGCTATATCAAATGCAAAGATTATTATAATTATTACTCTGTCCCCGATCTCTTGAACTTCCATTCCAGAATCCCTCCGACTCGCTCCATCCCTGTCCAAGTTCATCCCTCCTTCCACACCTTTGACCTGTGCTGCTGATATGGGAACCTTCTCTTCTATTTATTCCAGGGTAGCAATCCCATGAGGTGCTGATGGAGGTTGTTTTTACTTATCTTCATGGAATTTCTTTGTAAGCCACAGAGCAGAGATTTATGTTGTCAACATTCTATTAGTGTCAGATCGTTGGCTTCCTTCAATCAACAACAACAAGAACAAAATTACATTTATAGAGCGCCTTTCATGTCGGGAGGACATCCCAAGGCGCTGGACAGTCAGGGGTCAGGACCCGAGCATGGGGGAGGGGTGCGGTAGGGGTGAGGGAAGGCAGAGAGGTGGGAGGGCGACCGAAGGCACGATCGAAGAGGAGAGTCTTGAGACCGGCCCTTGAAGGAGGCAAGGGAGGAAGCGAGGCGAAGGGACTGTGGGAATTCCAGAGCGTGGGGGCAGAGAGGCTGATAGCTCGGCCACCGATGGTCGGGCGGGAGACATGGAGCAGGCTGGAACCTGCTGAGCGGAGGGAGCGGGCAGGTTGGTAGGGAGTCAGCAGGTCAGAGAGGTAGGAGGGGGCAAGACCATGGATGGCCTTGAAAGTGAGAATGAAGATTTTGTATTCAATTCTCTGGGGGATGAGGAGCCAGTGGAGTCGGGCGAGGGTGGGAGTGATGGGGTCACGGAGCCTGGTGTGCGAGAGTACACGAGCTGCAGAGTTTTGGATGATCTGCAGGATGTGAAGGGAAGAGTTGGGAAGGCCGATGAGGAGAGAATTTCCATAATTGAGGCTTGATGTGACGAATGCGTGGGCGAGGGTTTGGGCAGCCTGAGGGGTGAAGCGGTGGCGGAGTCTGGCAATGTTGCGGAGGTGGTGGTAGGCAGTGCCGGTCATGGCGCGGATGTGGGGGAGAAAGGACAGTTCAGGGTCAAACAAGACACCCAGGTTCCTGACTGGCTTAGTGAGGTTGAGTGTAGATCATACAAAATGTGATCATTATTTTTTCACATTGCTTTCATTTAATATGTAACTGCTCAAAAATGTGCTTTTAACATGTTGACTTATGCAGGCTACATTTCAGATGTTACATAGAACAACCACACACATATATATATATACACACACACACACACACACACATATAGGCTTTATATTCGCCCACAAAATGCCCCATCAATCCACTTTACAGTCTATTCTGTGAAGCACTTTTGAGACATCTCAATGACATGAAAAAGCGCTATATCAAATACAAGAATTATTATTATGTTAAAAGTTTAATGTAAAGAGCCATCTCGTCCATTTCACCATTAACACAAGGTGTGAATTAGTGGTTATCACTATATTCACTTTGATACCAGATCATTATACAGTATCTATGCCTACCTCGGTTTAACTTGGCAATCATTTCACTTATGAACTGTGCAGAACTTGAATCCTCATACATTTCGCACAAACTTATAGCTCACTTTGTGGTACTTTGTGGTATTTTTTCCCAGAACTTAACGTTCCCTTCAAATAGTTGCTCTCAGCTGTCAGATTTTGTGGAATTTTCCACTCCTTGTTTATATTCTGTGTTGTCATCTTCCTGCGTGAATGATATGCACTGCTTTGAAGTATAAGAGTTTCTCTACATAACACTTTGCAACTTTGTACGGCATCGGTTTATGTTAAAAGGTGTTATGTCAAAAAGCTTGATAAAAAATGGGGAGACATTTTAAAGGCGTATTCTCGTGATTATGATTACCCGGGATCATAAGATCTGGTGGACTTGCATAGAAAAGAAGCTTAATGCAGAGTATAGCCAGAAATGTCGAACAATAGAAATTTACAGCACAGATGAAGGTCATTCAGCCCATGGCTTTTAAGAGCAACCCTTTCAGTCCCGTTTACTTCCTCATTTCGTACCCGTAGTTTACTCGTTTATTTATTTGCCTACTTCCCTTTTGAAAGCTAGTGTGATGGAGAAAATGGATAATTGCAACTAATATGAATGATTCAGAGGCTGAGATGATCTTAACCACACGAGTGAGGATTAAGTTGCTTGTTATTCACCTGAATGCTGTGCAAGGATTAGTTTTAATGGTCTGATCTACACAATTGCAATAATCTCATTCTGTTTCATGTTTGGAATTGTTTAGCTGGCAGTGGGTGTCACAGCAGGTGCCAGTGGCCAGAGGTTTTTTGGATAGCTAACCTGAACCCATGCTGAAGAAATATTGATTGATTTAATCACTGGTGCTTCAGTAATTGTTGGAATCAATACATGTCTATGTACTGTATGCATTGATAGACTTTGAAAATGCACATCTATGAAGGTTTTAGTATTGGCTCTGATATTACCAATTTAAATATTAATTTAATTTAAAGAAGTTAAAAGGCTGTGGACACTGTGAGATCACAATAGCGCTATCATTTTATTACTAAATTGGGTCTATTATAATCTTTCCTAATTTATGTTCCTTAATCCTTCTTCTAGCTACTACCAACCATTTTGGAAGGTGAAAACAACTTTAGTTTGTCTAACTAAACTTCACTGACTGAAAATTGGTTTGAGGAACGAGTTTTTCAGCAGCTGAAATGCAGGTTGCTTCATAGAGTTGGTTCGTGACATAATCTTGGAAGTTAAAATAAGTGAAACTCTTAGCCATGTTAACAAATACACGGCCCCAGGGTGCCATCATAGCAGATCTGATGTATGTAGACTCTCATAGGGCACCATATAAGTGCAAGTTGTTGTTGTTGGTATAGCCCCTTATTACATCTTCGTAGACGTCTCAAAGCGCTTCTCAGAATATACTGTAAAGTGAATTGACTGTATATTTTGTGGGCAAAACGCGGCAGCCAATTGCGCACAGCAGAGTCCCACATCTAACTCTTTGAGATGTCTCGACGATGTGATACGGTGCTGTATTAAATGCAAGGAATATTATTATTAAATATTTTACTTAATAATAATAATCCTTGCATTTGATATAGCGCTTTTCACGTCTTCTCGACGTCCCAAAGCGCTTCACAGAATATACTGTAAAGTGAATTGACTGTATATTTGTGGGCGAACGCGGCAGCCAATTACGCACAGCAATGTCCTATAAACAGTCGTAGATTGAAAATGACTAATTTATTATTGTTTTTGGTTTTGGAGGGATTATTATTAGGCTCTGTGTGGAGTAAGGAAACTTGCCCAAGGTTTCGCCCTCTGCCTGGAATTGAACTCAGGTCTCTCACTTGCAAAGCGAGTGCTCTAACCACTGAGCTACAGGACTCCACACTGAGCAAGAATGATTTGACTTTCAAAAGAATACAAAGTTCATAAAGATGAAGTGTTAAATTTACATAATTATTTGAGTTTGGTTTTGCTCTGGTGTCACTGTTGTTGGGGAAGATTTCATGTGATGAGTTTCTTGTGTGATGTTCCGACCCCATCAAATTCAGTTGCTTTTACCACAATTCTCGAGATCTTCTCTCCAGCTGGAGCCCTGGTTTGGAAAAAGGGCAACATCTGTAATAGTAATTTTGTGTATTTTTCGCAGTCCAAGTGGACACAGTATAAAATCTGTATTGCCCCCATAGGATTGCAAATTCAGTTTGCAGTACAATAGATTTCAATTCATTTATCTGTTTCCTTTTTTTTAAAAAAAACTTCTAAACGCACCTTTGTGTGCAAATGCTAGGTGGAGGACAGGGCAGTTTCTTGTTCATGCTTGTTTACTGATTAAAAGTACCAGTAATCATGACTTGGCAAATAACACATCTCTTTTTGTGAAGCAGTTTGACTTAGGACTTAGTGCTGTTGTGGGGATGTCATTCTTAAAGGGGAACTAACCTCTTTAGGGCCTACTTTCAGTTTCAAAGTACTTTTTCTGGATTCCAGTAAGAAATTCATTCGTTGTGAAAGTATTGTTGCATTCAAGTATTGAAATAATTCTATCTTGTGCGACTTTTATTGTGGCCATTTCCTCCCCATAACGGATGTCACTGGAGGGCCCCTTAGAGAGGCGGAGGCAGGCCGCAGGTACAATATTAAGCTGAACATTCCTCAGTGTTGAGAAACTATAAATAGCAATAATAATCCTTACATTTGGCATATTGCTTTTCCTGCTTCATGGAATTTACTGTAAAGTGTAGTGACTGTGTATTTGTAGCTGAATGTGGCAACTGATTTGCATAAACCCGTAGCAATTTCCTATGTACATCCATGAAATGAATGACCATCATTATCTGGGGGTAATTTTATTTCAGGCATTTGTATTAAAAGGTGGTGATTATGACTGGGTGGAGAGAGGTTACTTTTGAAAATTGATGTTTAAGATTTTTGAGTAATGCCATGGGATTTTTTAATGTCCTGTTGAACAGTGAACAAGACCTTAGTTCAATGGCTCATCCAAAGGACATCACATCTATCAATGCAGTTCACCCCCAGAAATGCAATGGAATGTTGGTCTAGACTGTGAGTTTAAAGTCCAGACGTGGGGCTTTAACCCATGTCTTTTTATAACCCCATTGCTGGGAGCAGCTCGATCAGCACAGACCAGTGATTAAATCAGGGCTTTCTGAATCTGCATGGTTAAATTTCACACCAGGGAGTGGCATTCATTACCAAATGTACTTTCCTGTACCCTGAATACAATCCAACATGAACTAGGTATTTCAGCCTTAGTTTGCATTAGATTCAATAAGTTCAGGATGATTTGTGGCGATGTCTTTTTTTTTAAACATCATACACTTATAAAGACCAGTGGTGTATAATAATAATCGGTACATTTGATATGGCACCTTATCACTTCGTTGAGACGCCTCTAAGCGCTTCACAGAATATACAGTAATGTGAACTGACCGTATATTTTGTGGGCGCAAAGCAACAGCTAGTTGCTCACAGCAGTGTCCCACAAATTGTTGTATGAGCGTAAGTATGAGCTTCTTATGGTGACAAGTACGTCCATCATAAGTCCATTATCATAGCAAGCTGTTCCGTGATATTACCACTGTTTCTAATTCAGAATCTGAACGAATGCCATGCGGGAGGCAGTGCATTGGGCCATCGACAGGTATTGAATTGATATATGAGACAGTTATTTTCCTGAATAATTTATAAAAATGTTCCTACTCTGATACTACCCTTTTACCATTGCTTTGGATCGTCTATAATTTTACACAGCTGCTGTAATAGTGTGGTGTGGTGTCCCCAGTGGGGAATTCTGCTTCTGCCATCTACTGTTAACAATACGTTTGTCACAAACTTGTAAGGAAAAACAATATAAATGGGGTTTTGGATGCCATATCACAGTAGGGACCAATCAGTAGTGTCGAGCGATTTGGACATCCTCCAGGTGTGAAAATTACTATGTAAATCCGTATTGAATGAATGCTGAGGTGAAACTGAAAGAGACACAGTTTTCTTAGGTGACTCGTTGCTCAGCACAAGTCCAAATAGTGTGAAGAAGTCACGGCTTTAGAAAATGGTTTGTTTCCGCAGTGGGATGACGGTAGGATAGGTGTCCTGGAAGGATGTGATCACATGAAGGGCTGAAGGACCTTATTTATCCAAACTTCTGTAAGGAGACTGACTGGGAAGTGTGAACATAAGGATATTGATTCCATTCAGGATTAGGAATATTCTACAGTAAATCTCACATAAATCATATCAGTTGGGACGATACATTTATTACTACTTAGGCAAAGCATGAGTTCTGTCAGACTTGCTGAGAATATAAACTCTAGAACGGGACTTGGGCAGACTTTTACTTTACTAATATTTCCAGTTTCCACATGAAGAATGACCAGTTTGGCAACCATGAAACGGTACCTCAGCATGACTTAGTGCTTAGAAAGAAGAGAGGCAAACAAACGAAAGAAAGGGTTAATAGCCTAGACATGTTATGTTAACGCAAAAATATTGCTCATGAGGCCCGCAGACGTTTTTCACAAATAAGGGCATCCGTCCCTCAGCAGCCAAAAGGTTGGAGCGTCCTGACCCAGAATGTTTATTCTGCCTCAGTGTAAATACTATCTTAAAGGAACTAATTAAAGTTCAGAGATTCTGAGTGAAACTCCGAATGGAAAGTATTCAGCTTTTCTTTTCATTACTTTTAAGGTGAAACGATACCAGTGCACATTTGAAGGCTGCACCCGCACCTACAGCACAGCGGGGAACCTGCGGACTCATCAGAAGACTCACCGCGGAGAATACACTTTTGTTTGTAACCAGCAGGGCTGTGGCAAAGCCTTCCTCACCTCGTACAGCCTGAAAATTCACGTCCGAGTCCACACCAAGGAAAAGCCTTTCGAGTGTGACGTGCAAGGCTGTGAGAAAGCTTTCAACACTCTGTACAGGTAAACGATGATTTCATTCATTCAATGCAGGATAACCAGTTCTTCATGGTGAAACTTGTACCTGGTCAATTGAACGTGTGGTTTTCTACTAAGCGACAAGCATGTTGCTACTGATTTATATACTTTGCAATTTAGGAAAAAAAATTGCAGATAATTCAAGCAAATGTACTGAGCACCATCACAGCACAACATAAGCACAAATATATTCCGGCCTCAAAATTCCAGCTACATATAGTAGCATTTGGGAATTAAAAGTTTTGTTGCATTGGGCACTGTATCATTCAGCACCTCTCAGGCCAGTTATAGAGCAAAGCTCCCTCCCCACGGCTCCCAAAACATGCTTTAATGCTGTCCTCCGCAGAGCAATGCATTAAGGTCAACTCGTATGATGTTGACATTTCATTTCCTCCACAAGCCATTGAGGTGATTTTTGTGAGTAAGTTGGGCAGTTAATGTCAAATTGTATTTATGTGTGTGCCTTTTCCCCCAGCAGAATCCGTGTTTAAATTGTCTGGCTGTTTTCACCTTGGCCCTCATACAGCTAGCAGAGAGCTTGTGGGGGCGGGGGAGGCTTCATTCAACCAGATTTGACTGAATCTGGAAGAATAGTTTGATAAAGCATAGAATCCTGTTGTAAGGTGGTACTGTAGTGGGGTCCATAATATTCCCACTCATCGAGCGCAGCTGTAGTCAGTGCACTCCACGTCACAGAGAATATGTGGTTATTGGGTTGCCACTGACGTGCTTCCTGCCTGTGTGCTATACTACTACAACAACAACAACTTGCACTTATATAGCACCCTCCAAGCAGGGTAGCATCTCAGAGCGCTTAACAGTGGCGGAGCCTGACTGAGCTGGTGGGGGGGGGGTGAGTTCACAGGGCACTCGCGAACCATGCCAATTATAAAGGGGTGCTTAATAATAATAAATCATAACAACCCTTTACATTTGGTACACCGCCTTTCACATCAGGAGTACGTCTTGAAGCATTTCACAGGACGTGCTGTAATGTGGACTGACTTGACTGTGGTACTTTTTAAAATGCTCCGAGACGTCATCCCGCGTGAAGGGCGCTACATAAATGCAAGTTGTTGTTGTTTTCATCCAGTGGCAGCAATGAACGCAGCCGATGGTAGAGCTGGACCAACTGTGGTTGTCTCCAACTGTGCCATTTTCTTCCCAATAGTCATGCCAGCTCCCTTGTCGGTCCGCACATGTTGTGCTTCAAAACTGCTGGTCAGCAACAGCCTTGAAAAGGACCGTTGTCATCATTCTCGATTTTACTGCGTGGCAGGCAGGGGAACCTCCACACAGCACGTTGCCCGGGCTTCTTTTGATCCACATTTATAATGCATGGCAAAGCAACCGAGAGAAACTAATACATTTACTGCTGCTGTCTCCCTTCGTAGCATCTAGCATTGCGTGGGAATTCGCATGAATATAGTTGTCATTAAGGTTGTACCTTCAGGAGTGTAGGATTGCAACTGGCTCTTCCAAAGGTCTTTTTCAACTTTGTGTGTACTGAAGACTTGAAACACAACAAAAACGCTCTGCTGTTAATGGTGCTGGATTGGACATTTACTCAATCGGATTTGTGAATAGTTGCGTCTGACTTGGTTTAAACCGGTCGTTCCTGCGCTTTGCATTAATAAGTATGAGTTTGAGGAGAAGGATGGAATAATCCCAATTTATAAATCAATTTACATTTATGTCGTGAGTTTCACGTCAGGGGACATCTCAAAGTGTTTTACAAAGCTTGTGAAGCTAACCAATCCTTTGGAATCCATGCCAAGTATCTTTGTCAATTCAGTTTGTTCAGCTCAGGTTCACTTGTCCCAGGCTGTGGCACCTGGTCTTCTCAACAACGATTGTTCGCAAATAATGTAGAAATCAGCCATCTCTGAGAATACTTAACCGCATGAGGTGTAATGCCTGAGAAATTAATTTGTTGTGAAATATTGGGACTCAAAATGAAGTGACAAATAACTGCAGAATCCCTGTTTTACAACAACTTGTATTTATATAGCAGCCTTCACGTAAGTGTAGCTTCTTGGAGCGCTTAACAGTGGCAGAGCCTGACAGGGGTGGGTCGGGGGGAGGGTAGAGGTGACTGAGCACGGTCAAAGAGGAAAGTCTTCAAGCGTGATCTGAAATAGGGAAAAGAGGGGCAAGGTGGAGGGTTTGAGGAAGAGGCGTGTGTGTGAGAGAGAGAGGCGTATGTAACTCAGAAAAGAAAGCTGGAATCCAGCTTAGTCTCTGCCAATGTCTATATATCGGACTGAATTCTAATATGCTAGTATAGCTTGGCATGTTCCTTGGGCCCCAGACACTTGCACAGTTTCAGATTCTGTGCTTAATCGTGAATTGTACTTTTTGGCAATTTTTTAATGAATACAGTGGTATGCAAACGTATGTTTGATAATGCCATGTTTTAAAAAAGAGTCTTAGGGTTTTACAGAACAAGATTAATTAGAAATAATAAAATACTTCTTACAATTGATATAGAAGGATGTCTCAAAGTCTTTACAGGACATACCGTACTGTAAAATGGAGTGGCTCTATTTTGTAGGTGAATGGGTCAACCAGTTTGTGGGTTACGAGCACCACAATAACCCACAAACTGCCATGTATTAAAACGTATATTTAATATAAACTGACTCATGTAGATTGAAGATTTGCTGCTATATCCAATGAATATATATAAAATATGAGAAGTTGCCGTTTGCTTCATTCTGTGTAGGTTTCCCTGCACGGTTTGGAAGCTCAGCAGTGTGAGAGTACTGATAAAAAGAAGCTCACAGCTGTTTGAGCTGATTGTTACCTAAGGGTGTGGGTTATTTTATCTTACTGTATAGCTCTTCAAGGACTTGTTAGTGGTTAATAAGATCTGCCCCCAGGAAAGGCATCACGTGACTCGAGCAATAAAATTATCTGAAGCAAAGGTCACAGTCTGCAAATCAAGGTCAAATGTTATCACCTCACTAAATCGTTCTCAGACCGTGACCCTTTTACTGTTTGTATTTTTTGGATTGGCAATGAAAAAATTCCTCTTCGAACGTGCTTACACCCACTTACCCCCCCCCCCCCCACCCCCAGGTCAGTCAGACTCCGCCACTGTTAAGCTCTCTGGGACGCTACCCTGCATGGAGGGCGCTATATAAGTGCAAGTTGTCGTTGTAGAAATATTTCCTTAGAATTTTTTTAATAGTCTGTCCAGCACAGGTTAAAAAATGCCCGCTGAATCTCACTGACCCTTTCTCGCAGATACAAACGCAGCCTTCCAGATATTGTACTTCAGAGAACGGAGTCCTGTAGCTCAGTGGTTAGAGCACTCGCTTTGCAAGTGAGAGACCTGAGTTCAATTCCAGGCAGAGGGCGAAACCCTGGGCAAGTTTCCTTACTCCACACAGAGCCTAATAATAATCCCTTCAAAACCAAAAACAATAATAAATTGGTCATTTTCAATCTATGACTGTTTGTGGGACATTGCTGTGCGCAATTGGCTGCCGCATTCGCCCACAAATATACAGTCAATTCACTTTGCAGTATGTTCTGTGAAGCGCTTTGGGACGTCCTCCCGACGTGAAAAGCGCTATATCAAATGCAAGGATTATTATTATTATTATTATTATAACGTGAATGGTTCAAACAGAGGAAACTGGAGATTGTAAAATGTTGCAGCCAGATCCTAATTGAACCGGAGACGGTGTGCATGAACACACTGTTTTGATGTGAACAATTATTTTGAAAGTGGCAATTAGAGTAATTGCTGAGGAATTTGTACACACTGCAGTACAGGTTCCACAGAACCTCAGAGCAGCCAAGTGAAGAAGCAGAGCCAATACTGCCCTTTGAAGCTGTTGTACTGAGATCTTGGAGTTGATCATTGCTCACCCGAGTTCACTCTACCACAGGAAGCACCTCTAGTCTCAGGTACCTGGTCACATTCTTCTCCAAGTACCAGCTCGTTTCCTTTTGATGACCTAGTTCTTTAGAAGCAGAAATTTAAACATCAATACCGATGAACCGTATTGTTCAGTCGGAAATCTTAGATAACAGAACCATCATAATTTGAAAATTTCTATTGTTTATGAAGTCTTGCCTCCTCCTGTGAGATCCCTTCAGTAATTTTCTGCCTCCAACATCTGACAGATCACAATTTGAAGCCCAGTTCATGTTGAGGAAATGCAGGCTTTTCTGTAATCCTCTCCCACAGATTTCTTGAAATATCCACTAATCTCTGGATTCATAAAGCAATCTAACCCGTAAATTCTCCCACACCTGAGCTGATTCCCAATTAGGACCTCAGTTTGATATAATGCAGACTCCACTTCACTCTGTTTGAAGCATTCAGGTTCTCAAAGATTTGTGACTTGCAAGGCTGTGCCATTTGTTTGTGGCATTTGTAAGTGCAAGAAAGGGTTCTCCTGTGGGGAGGAAGGTAACAGGTACCTCAATGGAGCTGAGGATGATATTCTTGGCAACAGAATGTTGCAACTGGAGTCCTGTAGCTCAGTGGTTAGAGCACTCGCTTTACAAGCGAGAGACCCGAGGTCAGTTCCAGGCAGAGGGCGAAACCTTGGGCAAGTTTCCTTACTCCACACAGAGCTTAATAATAATCCCTCCAAAACCAAAAACAATAATAAATTGGTCATATTCAATCTACGACTGTTTATGGGACATTGCTGTGCGCAATTGGCTGCCGTGTTCGCCCACAAATATACAGTCAATTCACTTTACAATGTGTTCTGTGAAGCGCTTTGGGATGTCCTCCCGCCGTGAAAAGCGCTATATCAAAATGCAAGGAAAAAAAATTGAGTCATAAGAAATTCCTCACGTTCGACTCCCACTAACCCTGGAAGCAAAGCCCTAGCAGCTAAGGTGGTCTTAGCCAGATGAGCAGCAGGAAGCTTGCCAGACATATTTAGCTTTGAGCGTGTGTCAGACTACCCCCAAAAAACCAAAGGATCTGGTCAGATTCAGGCTCACCAAATTTATTT